AGTTCTGAGCCGCAGTGTCTCCTGTGTGAGTTAACGCCCCCCTGACAACGTGACGTGGGAAAGAGAACACATCACAGTGACCGCTGCTGTTCTTAAGTGACCGCCACGTAGCAGATGTTCCAGGCGCTTGGGGAAGCACGGCTCTCATTATTCCAGTCACTATTCTAGCAACACAACCACAGCTTCGTAACGACTTGCTGTTATCACACAGCTGAGGATTGAGAGCCCACAGAGCAGTCCACAGGCCCCCGGAAAGCAGTGCCCGTTTCTAGGCACAAAGCCACTGAGCCCTCGTTTGCCGCACTATGCAATAAAATGAAGATGGCAAGATACACCTGGGCCCCCCATTTGCCCTTACAGGACTCGGGCACCAGGCTTTGGCACGTATCCTCTGAAAGTTCAGAGGGTGGCTCATCCCTTCCAGTGGGTGCCTCATTTTCTGCAGCAAGTGTGTTCCAGGACGTGGCCTCTGGGGCTAGCTGAGGGTCTCTGCAGAGTTGCCCTCGGTTTCCCAAACCACCATCTCCTATTTCAGTCTTCTTATAAACTGACTTTTCCTGAGCACCTGTCCCCTGTTCCCTTAAAATAAGAATGCATCGTACTCCTTTTCTTCCTGTAAAAGCTACACACGGTCGTGGAAGGAAAGTCAGAACACACAAGGCAGGAAGAAGAGGGTGAGAAACACCCACGAGGACTGCTCCCAGGCCCCTGACGCCAGCGCACCCGTGAGAGGGGTGGTGTTTCTTTCCTACCAAGCTTGCTGCCACTTGACTTCACACCAGGCTTTCCATTTCAAATCAATTTCAAAGTGACTTAACATTCCAAGGAGAGTCCAGTGGGATGCCGCCTCCCAGGGGCCCCATGCGGGCAGTGAGCAGCTCACCTGGCCGGTCAAGATGGGGAGTTTGGGGAGCAGGCAGGTCCTCCAGGCGCTAAAAGAAGCCAGTCTCCCCAGGGGCCCAGGTGTCCTCGGAAGGACTTCTGGCCCCTAAGGCTTCTGGGATAACTTGTGAACCCTAACCAGCCGTTCCCGCTCGAGCCTGTCCTTCTGCCTCTCCAGGTGCATGGCCAAATTCCAATCATTCTCTCAGCCTCCCCTCACCTTCCCAGCTCTCAAGCAAGACCCTGAGATCTGGCAATGGGCAGCCTTTGTTCCACTTTCCCCACGTCACCCTTGCCATCCTCTCTCTCCTTGTCCCTGTCACTAATGCCTGTCCTGTGACCCCCGGGGCTCCTGGGAGAAGCACAGCCAGCCTGGGACATGCCCGCCTCCCTCCTTCTGCTGTCAGGGCTGCTTCAAGGCCTAGAATCCCGGGCACCTCTGCGATGTGCTGTGTGACAGGGCTGTCCCCAGCCCAGGTCTGTCCCTACAGCAACTTCTCAAGGGGCTTTTTTTTTTTAACTTGGCTTTCTAAAGAAAGCAAAAGAAGTAAGTGGGAGTGGCTGACCCCACATGGTGGAAGAAAGACACGTTTGTAGGGTTAACGTGCCATGAACAGCCAACAGGCCTCCAAGGCAGAGCAGAGGGATATGGTTATTTCCTTCCCAATCTACTCTCTAGGAACAGGTAACACTGGTCTTGGGTGGGGTGGCCTGGAAGCAGATTTTTGAGGATGAGTTCATGTGTATGTGATGTATTGAGGGGGGGCTTTCCAGGAAGAACCATAAGGGAGTGGGAGGCTCAGGATGGGCAGAATGCAGCTGAGCCAGATGTGGCATCAGGTAACATGTGGGTGTGGCCTGATCTACCGGGAACTCTGGAGCATCAATAGGACCACAAAGTTGCCCCACTTGGAGGCAAGGGCACTGGCCTTATACATCCCCGTATCAGCCAGGCACCAGCATGGGCAGAACATATGACCTCCCAGACAAGGCAGCTCCCAGGGCCTGAGGGCGATTCTGCAGAGAAAGGGGCAGCTGAGAGCCTTTGGCAGCCAAAGCTCACACAGCTGGAGAGGGAACCCAGCCGTCAGCCAGGGAAGCCCCCTGCGCCAGGGTGTGCTTGCAGGCTCTCAGGTTTAGTCCAATCCAGATCTCCTACTGTAAGAGGTCATTCCAGCCCTGGGATAACTTCTTTCTTGAGTGAGGGACCTTGTTCATTTACAGAAACTGCCAGCTTCCAATTTCCAGCTACAGTGGCCATTCCCATCTCTGATTCTTAGCCAGTCAAAGAAATCTTTTCAGTTTTCCCCAGGAAAGCAATGTCACTTCTCTGCCAGAATTAATACAAATTGACTTACAAAGAGGCTGTCACTGTGTGAACTCTAGTCCGTCAGTGACCTGGGTGCAAATGTGGACAGAAATGAACTTTTTAGAATCTAGCTTTTGAATCCCGATGACAACAGTGACTACCGCACGTGACAAATGATTGGTGATGCTTTAAATTACCCAGATGGCTGTTCCTCAGGGTAACGGCCTCTGGCCGTTGGCTTGTGAATTTCCTTCTTGAATTTTTCAAGGCGGGCTGTCTTGCAAGACACGAAAGGGGCTCAGATGCAACACAGGACTCAGCCAAGGTCTCTCTCCCTGCTCTGGGCATCACTGTCAGCTTCTGTTATCTCCAGGTGTACGTCTCGGGGGCTTCCAAAGCCCCTGAAGCTCAACTCTAGAAGGAAAGCCTCCTTTCTGGAACTGCCTGCTTGTTTTTGTAGAAACTCAGTCATAAAATGTGGCATTTCACTCACAGCTAAGGTTCTCGACATTCCAGAAGCCTCCTGCAAGGTGGTTGGAAAACCTGCATAACAGGATCCAGTTTTCCCAAGTGCTTTTCCTAGAGCCTGTGAGCCAGGGCGAAAACAGAATGTGCTCAAAACAGAAGCCTGAGAAAGGTTCTGGGTGGTGGTGGCGTCTTGATCAGGTTCAGATTGAACAAACTCAAACGATTAGCTCTCTGCTATCCAGTACGGAAGCTACCAACCACATGTGTCTAGTTAATAAAATTAAATAAATTTAAATTAATTACTAAAATTAAATTCATTAAAAATTCAGCTCTTCCCACATACTTGTCAATTTCAAGTGCCCGAGAGCCACATGTGTCCAGTGGCTACTGTATTAGCACAGATACAGAACATTTCCACCATTGCAGAAAGTTCTGTTGGTGAGCGCCGGTCTAGACATTTGTAAATGTACGGTGCATATGAACGTGTGTACATATTTTATCTTCACGGCCACTCTTCAGGGTAGGAAGTCATATCCCCGGTGTCCAGGTAAGGAAAATGAACGCAGACAGTTCAGACGCCTTGCCCGCAACTGGACCTGTAGTCTCCCCCACATGGCTTTCTGCCTGCATGCAGGCTGGAGCCCGCACGATCCTTAAGCATTCATCAGCTCACCTGTTAAGTTTCTGACCCTGTTCTGAGTGAGTAGCATCTTCTTTGAGAGGTCCAGGTCTTGGCTCGCCATCCTCACATCTCCAAAGCTGGCCTGATGCCTGCTCTCCACCAAACTGGATGATTTCCCCAGAACCTAGTCCTTGGGACCCCACCTCCAGCACCATCCCTCGATCACCATGGCCAGTGGATGCACCCTTCAGCGTCAGAGTCCTGCAGAGCACACATAGTAGTATTCCATGAAGCTGTTTATGTATATATTTTTAAGTTCCTCGCCTTCATCAGTGAGCTGCTGGGCATCTCCAGCCAGCCTCCCACGTTTGTCACCTTGGTTCCAAGGGCAGCAGAGAACCAAGGCTTGGCTCTGAGCTGGGTGTATGACTAGCATCTTTTTGTAGATGTGCTTTACAAGATATGTGTTTAAAAATATGCACCGATTTATTCTCCAAAATAAAAGCCATGTTCAGGGGGATACTAACAAGAGCAAAGGGCCAGGGGAGGGGAGTGGGACCGTGCTCCAGGCACTGGGCTCGGTGCTTTCCCACGTGGCCTTTTTCATTCTCACCAGACCAACCCACAGTGACATGAGACTTCAAGGATTTAAATAACTTGCGCAAGCTCTCCTGACCAGTAAGCATAGAAGCAGAATTCTAACCCAAATAGATTTATTTCTGAAGTCTGGAGTATTTCCTTTACACCATGTAATCCTCAAATGTAGCTTCCTTTACTATGTTTCTGGTGCAAGAACCTTCGCACATCTCACCTTCAAAGGAGGCCGTCTCCGGAAAGGAGATCAGGTGTATGGAAAGGCAGCTGACCCTCCAGGGTGCTCCAGCTCTACGATCAACGAGACTCCCAAATTCCCCTGATCGCTCGGCGGTCTGTTCTTCATCAGGATTAATCAATCCAACTTCAGCTTTTTTTTTTAATGATAGTAATAACAATCACATTAGCAATAATCTCTCTTTATCAAGGTACTTAGTACTTCGAGAGAAAAGTCATACACGCTCTTGTCTCGGTCTGGGTTGCCTCAGAAGTAGACCCTGAAGGTACTTGGGGGCTGACCGTTTTTTAAGAGATGATCTTAGGGAAAACAAGTGTGGTAGAGATGTCAACAGGGAAGAGGAAGCAATCCAATGACGAATGCATTGATGATGCATTGACGGGCACGTTGCCACCAAGGGCAACTAGGCTCAGTCCCACTGGGGACGTTGAGTTGTCCCTACTGGGCAACCGGGAAGCCAGGGTATATTTTACTCACCACCTTCTGTCAGCCATCGGTAGAGGGTTTTCCCTGAGGGATTATATCCCTGAGGCTTTGGGGCCAGCCTGCACACAGGCGGAGGAAGCTCCCACAGTGCAGGGAAAAGCTCCAGGACGGAAGGTGGGAGATGCTGATACCTGAGGTGGGATGCAGTCAGCGGCCACAGGAGCCGCGGCTGCAGGTGAACCCAGAAGTGACTTAGGAGAACTGGGAATGGTGTCAACAGCATCGCTACATCCCCCTTGGACCCAGAAGCTTCAGAGAGTGTAGGTGACGGGCTCAGGTCACACAGTTGCTGTAAGAATGACCCCAAAGCCTCTGCTCTTTCCTGTCCCCAAAGCTGTCTTCAAAAGCCCTGGGATGGTGTGCCCTCCCCTGACCACATCTCCCCATCACTTTGCCCTCAGGAAAATACCATCCACTGGCAAATTGGTGCTGACGCTCACAACCGACGCATGCGAAGGGAAGGAAAACTTCGTCCGCTACCTGGAGCACGTCCAAGCTGTCATCACGGTCAATGCGACCAGGAGAGGAGACCTGAACATCAACATGACGTCGCCCATGGGCACCAAGTCCATCCTGCTGAGCCGGCGCCCGAGGGACGACGACTCCAAGGTGGGCTTCGACAAGTGGCCCTTCATGACCACCCACACCTGGGGGGAGGACGCCCGAGGAACCTGGACCCTGGAGCTGGGCTTTGTGGGGAGCACGCCCCAGAAGGGGGTGCTGAAGGAGTGGACACTGATGCTACACGGCACGCAGAGCGCGCCTTACATCGACCAGGTGGTGAGGGATTACCAGTCCAAGCTGGCCATGTCCAAGAAGGAGGAGCTGGAGGAGGAGCTGGACGAAGCCGTGGAGAGAAGCCTGAAGAGCATCCTGGGTAAGAACTAGCGCCACCGCCTGGCCACCACCGCCGCCGCCGCGCCTCCTGCCCGCGTCTCCGCCTCTCGGTCCTCGCTCCACACCCTGCCAGGCGCCCCGCGATGACTGTCCCCCCAACACAAGCGATTCCAACTTCTTGATCTGAAGCTTTGCTCACTGTCAATGATTTTCATTACGATGGAAGCAATCTTTTCTATTCTGTGCCCCAAATACAGTGTTCCTACCAACACCTATTTCCTATTTGTGACTCGAAGTTGTTTATTTGTGTCATTCAGGTAGGTGACATCCTGCAAACAGCCCTGGGACAGCTTTCCCCTCCATTTTCTTTCATAGAAGAGAAGAGAATGCATCTCAAATTGCACACACGGTGACTCCGAGGACATTTATTCATGGTCTCAACTGAGGACCCGTTACTTACAGAGAGAATCCAAAATTATGACAGAGGGTGAGCTCTGGGTCTCTGATGTAAAGCACAGAGGCTGTACATCCTTTGGGTAAAGACGTTTTGACTTAGCAAGATTTTTCAGTGATGTAGATGAAGGTGGCGTGAGTCAAAAGATGCCATCTCTGAGAGCCCTAATTACCAGACGGGGAAGAGAGAGTCAGAAAGCAGGGGCGTTGGAAGCCTTACCACCAATGCCGACATCACAGCTCATCCTACTCACCAGCGTGACAAATGTAAAGTCTAAGTAGCTTGGCTGTCCTTTGTCCAGCTGCTGCTCTGAGTTACGGTAAAAACTGCCAGAGGTGCCCAGTGTACTCTCAGTACGTGTAGATTTCATCCTAGCCCCAATTTTCTGGGGTTCCTCCCAGAGCTCCCCAAAAGGGAAAAAAGGCAAGGCTGGACTGGCAACCTGGCTGGGAAAGTGTAGCTTGGTCGTTTTTAACACAAGAATGTTCCTCTTCCTAAGTCACTCTGGGGCTTCTTAATGTGATGGAAGCGACAGGCATGGTGAGTATTTTTGACAGCTTCCCACACACCTGCTGGGGCTTTGATCTCCAAAATACGTGACTGGTGGGAAATGCCATACTTCCTCATGCTGTGGTTTCTGATGAGTCCGAGAAGTGGCCAATGTTCCAGAAGAGGTGTGTGGAGGGCGAGGGGGTGTGTTTGAAGAGAGCTGGGGCCGTCTCCACCTGGGCCCCTGTTTGTACAGAGCCTCTTCTGCTGAAGGGGGGACAAGCCAGCTCAGCCCCCAGTGACTTGAGGCTTGAAGGAAGCAAGAAGAGACCTCTGTAGGGGGAGCACTGAGTCACCATCTCGGCAGCTGAGCTGTCCAGGAGGGGGTTTACCACGCAACCCACAGGTGACACTTTCCCTCGCCCCCACCGTCAACTCCAAAGACCCCATCTCATTTACAAATAGAAGTGCTTTCTGAGCGGCTGTCACTTTAGTTTCCTACTCAAAGGTTGGCCCCTCCTCCCCAATCCCAAATGCCCACCCGTTCCCAGGAAACAACTTGGTTTGTTTGATTTGATTCCCAAGAAGCAATCAACCTCTTCCGTCTCCACTTCTCCCCCGTCCCGTGGGGAGCCTGGTGTCCCTCTACTCAAAGCCAGCAGCACAAGGGCCCAAGGGTCCGTTCTCTGAAGGCGGCAACTCTGAGAGAGAAGCCTGGAAAACTCCTTTTCTTTCATTCTACCCCCTACATTGGCATGAATTTCTGTCTTCTCTAGCACCATGTGACCTTCTCTATAAAACGCTTTACAATGTAATAATATTTATGATTTTTAAAAGAAATTTACTATATGTCATGAAGGTCTTTTTAAACCAGTTTAGATTTAAAGAAAAAAAATAAATAGATGCCATCAAAATTTCATTTTGCATTAACAGTCTGAAAATAAACCAAAGGACATTGTGTGTGTATAAGTGCACACAGAAATATGTATACCAATGCAGACTATATACACGTGTGTATATATGTGTATATATCTTTGTATACGCTTGTATAACTGTATATGCACACATATACCTAAAATGTGTGTATGTGTATTAATTGAAGAAACAGACACCATATTCATCTCTAAAAGAATATTCAGAGGGTATCAAGATGACTCTGGCTGAACAAAAAAAGCCAGAGGAAATTCAGGTGAAATGTTCCTCAATTCCCATTCGTTCACCTCTCTGTAATTCTGCGCCTCCCTGTATAAACATTGTGTCTTATATAGCAGCACAGATAAGAAATAGTTGTCCTATTTTCACAGTTATGGTATAATTTATGAAATTAGAGAGTAACTTATCAGCTTCTTAATAGAAATGGCAAGTTTTGATATGAGTATACAGTACCTGAAAATATATATAGTGCTATTTAAAAATATTTGGTCTCTACTTCATTTTTTGCACCAGTATTAACACTAAACTATGTCTTGCTAGTGAGGTTTTTATGCTCCTAATGCAAGAGACAGCTATTTCTAGTCATTTATTTTAAAAATGAAAATAAGTGAATAATGATTAATCAAGTTAACGTTGTTATTCTCTGTGACAAAATTTTATAAGCAAATTTAAAAATACATGATGTAAATTAGGAGATTCAACAATAAAACATTACCTTCCAGAAATTACGTGGGATGTGGTATGTATTACAGAAAAACACTTCCATCCATTCTGGGAGCAGATAATAAAAAGTCACCGAAGAGAGATCCAGAAAGCTTGCTTTCATAAATATGTATGAAAGATTTATGATTAGCAAATAAATCATACACAAATTATGACCTGTAGCAGCATTTTTCAAACTCAAGTTACAACCATTAGCTGTTGTAACATAAATTTAGGGAGTCAAAACCAGCATTTTGGAATAGAATAGAGTAGATCATGAATATTAATGATAAATATTGCTTCCTGAGATATCTTTTTTAAGGATTGTGTGTGTGTGTGTGTGTGTGTGTGAGTGTGTGTATTGGCTCACCATGTAAAATGAATTTTTTATTGTAAGTCATGCTCAAAAGTCTTTTAGAAACACTATTCTGGGCTATAGTCTCTGGGCTAGACTAAGTTATGCTGTAGTAACGAACAGTCCCTAAATCTCAGTAGTTTAACACGCGGAGGTTCAGTTATCATTCACACAAATTTCGCTGAGGATCTGGGTGACTCCTCAAGGACACAGACCTCCATGCAGTGACTCAAGGATTCAGGCTGCTTCAGCCGTCATCTTCGGGTTTGTAATCACAACACGAGGCTGCTACAGTCAGCAGGCAGGGAAAGAGAGCCCGTGGAGCCTCCTCCACTGTTCTGTGCTCAGCATGAAGGAGGCACACATGTCATTTGACCTGCTGTGTTTTGGCCAGTCCTGGTCAGTGACCCCACCTAAATGGGAAGCAACTGAGAGGCGTAGGACAGCGAATGGCATAGCTGGAGAGGACCAGAGTCTCTACCACAGAAAGCGTGATGTTTCTATAAAGCATATGCTTAGGTACTGATTACATGGATGATACCATGAACAATATTACAAACTAGCTCTAGCCCATGTGACCATGTGCTATTCTAGCCAATCTCATTATTAAAAAATATTAATATATTAATAATAGTTCATTGTCAAAACAATTTTCGGTTTTGTCCTAGGATGTAATACTTCTCAAACCCAGTTAGTAAAATCTCAAGACAGCCTATGGTTGGAAACAGATATTGAAGGGTGTAAGGTCCAGTCTGATTTTGTGACAGATGGAAACACTGCTTTTCATCACTTAATTTCAAAGGCTTACTTCCCAAAGATGAAGTTAAAAAACTGATCATTCTTATAGGGTTACTGAGAACGGGATTCAGCTGCTGCTCCAGGAAGGAACTGCCACTGCCTGGGTGAAGTAGCCCTGCTGGGCGATGGGGACAAAGGAGGAGCAAGGCCCTCCTCCCTCCTCCAGCGTGTCCTTCCCCTACCGAGGAGATGCAGAAAGGAGGTCCCAGGTTCCAGCTCTGGCACCAGAGGGCAGAAAGGCAGGCTTAGAGCTAAGAGACTGGCGCTTACAAATGGCACCATGAGTTCCTGTAGTCACCACTCTGATAAACCACCTGCACCCAAGATCTTATCAGGGGTCTGCCTTGGGAGACACCCAACTTAATTCAAACCTCTGTAAGTTCCCTGTTGATATTGAACCTCATTCATTAGCAGTATTCTTTGGGATCCCTCGGGTGGCAAGCAACAGAAACCAGCTCTAACTAGTGAAAACAAGTAAGCAGCATGTCCAAAGCATGCAGGGTAGCTCTTAGAGCTGAAGAAAAGCCTGAAGAGCCAGCCTAAATCAGCCTAGAAAAGGGACAGAGATTGAAGCAAACCTGGGGATGAGGATGCACAGTGGGAAACGGTGGTGGCGGAACCGCCCTCCCCGTCACTGGGTCAGGCCCGGCACTTTCAGTCTTGGTCTCACTGGACTCACACCTCCTATTCCAACAAGGGCTATAGTTGGGGACACTTGCGCACCCACGGGCAGAGGAAGGCAGGATGTCGTGAAGGTCAGATCAGGGCTGTAACCTGTGTGGAAGAAGCAGCTCCTTGATACAGGATCAGGGCTGCCACCTGAGGAATGGGAGCGGCTACTGGGCAGGCCCTGAGGCTGGGCCTGAGGTTGGGTCCTCCCAGAAGCCGACCCTGAGACAAGGAGTCAAGGTCAAGTCATTTATTTGAAAGGAGGCATGTTCATGTAGGGGAGCAGGAACGCGGGATGGGGAGAGGAGGAGTCCCACTCAGGGCACGTGGGTGAGGGGGTTTCTCCATGAGCATCTGGGGCTGAGGCCCAGCGGGGAATGTTTAGAACGTGCCTCAGCGTTATCCCATCGGGGGGGGGGGGGTGGTGAGACGAGCTGGAGTGTTTGTGCACCTGGCCTCTCCACCCTGGTTGGGGGTTGCTCCTGGGGTCATGAACGCCCCAGCACTCCCAGCCTTCCCAGCATGTGGACCGAGCACACTCCCGTGGACGTAGGACCCCTGATGGCAGAGCCGCACATGCCAGCCAAGCTTGCCTGGGAGTGTAGGCATGAACCAGGGATCAAGAATCGAGGATCTGGGGGATCAGGGCTGGTCACTGACTCAAATGCTTGGAGAATGGGAGGGATGAGGATCCGGGATACGGCCTCTGTATGGGGGAGGCAGCACCGGAGAGTCTTGGTCCTGGACTTGAGGCTGAGTCAGGGTAGAGGAGGCTGGGGCCCCTTGGGATAACAGTTAAGACCAGCCACTCGGAGCACTGGCACTTTGGGTTTCTCAGGACTGGTCAAAGCTCCAATGTTCTCTTGTCATCGATGTTACTGGGAGGCCTGCTCTAAGCCCCCATGTTTACTTTTTATAAAACTTAAGTGCTTGTTTTCAGAGACTTCACAGAGAGGAAAAGCCAGGAAATGAACTCATCCTGCAGCTCTCCTGGGGGAAACAGCACCAAGCAGGAAAATTGGAGAGGAGCAGCCAAGAAAATGAGCAACTGGGGCTCTGGGGCGGGGAAGGTGGCAGGCGGACAAAGAGCCCAACTGGACCCCACAGTGTCCACCATGGCAGCCCCACACTTCACACAGTGAGCCCAGCTTTCAAGTTGAGGTGAAGCTGCCAGGAAATGGTGTTCACCTGGCCCCTGCCTCCTGCCTTGACTGTCCTTCCTTCCATTGTCCTCCTATGGTCCCCTTTATTTCTCCTCTTTGAACAGGCCATTCCTGACCCAGGGCCTTTGCACTGGCAGCTCCCTCTGCCTGGAACGCTCTTCCATCAGATTTGCCTGTGACTGGCCCAGCTTGTCATTCAGACCACACTTCACGTCACCGTGGGGTCTTTGCTTGACAATTCAATCCAAAGGAGACCCCCGTCACTCTAGCATATCACTCTGTCTGATTTCCTTTATAGTATTGTTTCCATGGGGTTTTCTCTTATTTCTCTTAGTTACCTGTCTGCTTGTGCAATTTCTTCCACTCCCACCAGAACAGCATGCCTGTGAGCGTGGAAACATGCCCAGTGTTCTCCACTATCTCCCCAGCGCCCAGAGCCATGAGCGGCACAGAACAGGCCCCCAGTCCATTTTTGATAACTGAGTGGATGTAATATAAAAATAATCTTTCTTTGCCAAACAATACCCTCCTACTGCCTTTTTAAATGACAATATTAACTGAACACATGGTCCAAAAAATAAAAAGACTTAATGGGGATAAGGAAAGATTTGCAGTGGCTGTTAGGTTGGATATAATGTACAGGCTGGTCCAAATTCCTGGCACATTCTGGGCCCAAGCTAATAATTTCCATCATTCTCTCTTAAGCTTTTAAATTACATGTATTCCAAAATTGTGAAATGGAGTGGACTCTCCACTCATATTTTAGAAAGAACAACAAAAGCATGTTTCTCTCTTGAAGTCAAAACCTCGAATGAATT